CCTGCCCCCTCCCTCAGGCTTCGCGGCCTTCGCAGCCGCCGGTCTCTGCCATCAGCCAGCTGTGTCTACCCCTGCTCGGAAGGTCTGTGTCCTGAGAGGGGGTGGGGCTGGGGCTGGGGCTGGCTGGGGCCTCCAAAAAAATACCTGGGACCACCACTCACCCGCACGGCCCTGCCTGGGCCCAGCCCCGGCCTGCACGTGCACCTCCCATGGTGGGGCAGGACCAGCCGCCTCCAGCCCTTCCTTTCCCGCTCACCCCTCCAGCCTCGGTCCAGAAGGCGCCTTCCACTCTCCTAGCCCAGCTCTCCTCCTGTTGGGCACAGGGGTTGGGCCAGGCCCTGTGCTGACGCTGACGCTGGCCAACGCTGCACTTCTTCCCTCCCGGCACCAGGGCGTCGCGGGGAGGGCGCGGACGCTGAGCTGGAGGGTCTCATGCTTCAGCCAATTCCTATCGGAGGCTGCAAGGACACAGGCCAGCCCAGGCTGGGGGGGCTCGGCCCCAGGGAAGGCCCGCACCGGGCCAGCCTAGCATCCCTTGTGGCTACCAGGGCCTCAGCTGTCCTGGGGCCACCCAGGGGTGCCCCAGACCTGGGTGCCCTCACAGTCCCCCTGGCATTGGCAAAGTACACCTGTCCAGGTGGGGAAGGCCCAGCACAGCGGGGAATGCTCGGAAAGTGGCCTGCGGTGTGGGGCATGGGGCTGACAGCCAGGGCTGCCCACAGGGATTGGTAAGGGGGTTTGGGATGCAGGGGCTCACCCCAGCCTGGAGTTGGGGTTGGCAGTGGGACGGGAACCTGCCTGGAACCTGGTCCCTCAGACATCCCGTGGGCTCTGTGAGGCAATGAGGCTCCTTGGGGGCGACCCCAAGCCAGCACCACCCGCCCAAGCCCCAGGGCCCGGCTGAGCACTGGCCCTGGCTCCTGGGGCCCAACCCTGCCCTGGAGGAGGCACATGGACAAGTGACCAAATGGCCCCTCAACTGACTCCGGAGATCAGATGTCCCAAGAGGGGAGCCCAGCATGGCCAGAGACGCCCTGGCTGAGGTCCCCAGGATCAGCAGGCCCTGGTGGCCTTCCCAGGTGCAGGAGGTGCCGTGCCAGGGCTGGCACTGAGGGCCAGGGTGGCTGGTCCGAGGCTCATGTCCAGAGATACATGACACTAAGGATCGGCCTGCCTAACTCGAGCCCAGGGCAAGCTCAGAAAAGGGCTCAGCAGAGCAGAGGAGGCTGCCGGGTCTGAACCCTAGAGCCCCAGCCCTGAGCTAGACCTGAAGGGAGGGTTCCGGGGGTGGGGAGGAGTAGTCAGCCTAGCCCCAGGGGCTCCCAGGGTGCCCAGGACCTGCCCCACCCGCTTGCAGTTGCTCCTCCGTCCAGCTGGGGGCAGACCAGGCCCAGGAGGTGGGGAAGCCACACACCTGGGGGTGGCAAACCCCCACTCTGCGGGCAAGACACCCACCCAGGAAAGAAGTCCCCACACCGGGTCACTGGGGCTCAGGGTGGGACCCCTGACAGGTAAGACCCACCACCCCAGGACAACCTTCCTGCCTCCCTTCCATCACAAGGCACTGGGAGGTGGGGTTTGGGTCAAGCGGCTTTGAACCCCACAGCTGGGCTCCCGCCCTCTCCCAGCTCCAGCAGCCCTGAGCCCCGGGGCCCCACTGGGGTGGCACCCCACCTCCGGGCAAAGTCCAGGAAACTCGGGTTTGAACTGACTTTATTATTTTGTAAATGTGATTTTACAAAGCCTTGATTACGGTCACAGCCGGTCGAGTTCATTTCGGCGTCGCCTGTGAGACCTGCGAAGCCCTGTGCCGGCGCTGTGCACGTTCCGGCGGTTTAGTTATTGGTACGCTGGATACAATGTCAGCCGTGGCTAAAAAGTAACAGTCTCGACTACAGAGCACAGAGGGAGTGAGGACGGGAGAACGAACAAACGCTTCCTCCTTCTTAGGAAAGAAAACAGAACGGAACCCAGGAAAGCTGCAGGTCTGTGGCCGAGCCCAGCTCAGTGGTTCTGCGAAACCTCCTTGAACAGCAGGGGACAACGTTCAACTCTGTTTTAACAGTCGTGAGTTACAGTACTGCTTTAAGCCCTAAACAGACTAAAACAACCACTAAAAGGCTCTTTTTCTCCAAACATTCCATCCAAAAGATGAATGTTCCATTTGCACCCAATGCCACCCAAATGTTCAAGTCAAAAATATTTATACACTTTATACTTAGTTCTTTTTTTGTCTGCTAAAAATAGTATTGCAAGTTTTGGCTTCTTTAGACATAAAAATCACTCATGTGCAAAACGCGAACAATGGAAGCGACCGACCGGAGTGCAAGCAGGCTGTCCAATCTGAATGCTTTAGGTGCTGCATCATTTTTGTCTTTTTAAAGAAACAAAACAAACAAACAAACAAAAACGAAAACCTTTGCCGTTTCAGAAACATCTTTAACCAGGCCCTAGGTGCTCCCGCCCTGCGCAGAGCCACCGGATGGCCCGGGACGGGTCCCTGCAGCGCGCAGCCCGAACCGTGGTCACGGCCAAGGACGGCTGCGCGCCTCGGGCCAGACCGGAAGTCACGCTGGCGTGGCGGAGGCCGACAGGGCTGCTCTCGGCGTTTCCCACTTGCAGCAAAGATGTTCCCCTAAAATACCCTGTCTGACGGGCCCCACGTAGTGAGCGACGGGGCTACCAAGTTCCAGCAGTTACAGAGGCCCCTCAGGGCCAGGCTCACCGGAACCGCCTAGGGCACAAGCCCCCCAGCAGACCACCGCCGCACAGCCTCCACCTGCCGCCTTGCGCCTGCTCGGAGTGAACACCCCAGCAAGTTCTCGAGAAGGCATAGTGCAGACGGCCAGCGTTCACCGTCAAGGCCCAGGGGGCACAGGCAGCCCAGGACACTCGCCCTTGGCTCCGTCCACATGCAGGAGCAAAGGGGCCAAACCAAATGCAACGTGGCACAACCACAGGGCACCGTGGACGCAGACGCAGTGCAGAAAACAAGACAGAGGTCAAGTGTGGGGGCGCGGCCCCCGCTCACAGTATGTGCCGCCTCTCCCGGCCCTCTGCACCATCCCAGCCGCCTCCTTGGCCGGCCCCCTGGAGGGAGGCCAGGGCGGGAGCTCAGTGGGGCCCCTGGCCGGCCGCGCAGTGTGGCAGCTCCGACGCGGTCCAGTCCCTTCTGCCCCCAAGGTGCAGCTGTAACTTAGCTCTATAATGGACTACGTCGATGGGCGTATTGCTAACAGTCAAGCTTCAGAGCAAAGGTGCAGACGTCTCGCAAATACCGAGCAGCTGTCTCTGCCTCGGGGACCGGCCGAGTCGGGGTCACGCTCACGGGACAGGCAGCCCGATTCTGGAATCAGTCATCTTGTAAACAAAGGGGGGGGGGTCCGGGTTTCTTACTCGGGTTCCTGGGAAAATGCTCAGAAGATGCTAAGGCACTCTGGGGGCCCTCCGAGCCCGGCCCGCCCGCCCCTGCCGCCTGCCCAGCCGCGGTACATTCAGGACGTGGAGGGAGCGCCTGGCAGGCTCGTGTCGGCCACGCACGTCTGCAGGTGCTCGCGGCCCGCATCTGCCGTGCGACACAGTAGTGCAAACCTTCGGCCTGCCGCCCAGCACAGGCAAGCCCGGAGCCCGTCACATTGAAGAATTGTCATGTAAGAGTTCCCTGCAGCTCACGCCTCCCTTACCCAGAACGACAGAGCAGACGGCGGTCACGACCGACTCAGGAGCAGAGGTCACGGACATTGTGCTGGCCTGAGGCGTCGGGCGTTCTCTGCGCAGCCACCGCCTGCTCCCATGGCCAGTGGCGCCCTCATCTCCGGGCCGCAGGGCGGGTGCCCTGCCTTCAGAGGAGAGGAGGGAGGGAGCCATCTGTCGACAGCCGGCACAGGAGGACCTGTCTCCCAAGGGTCCCCAGGGGTGGTCAAATTAAAGTGCACATCTGGGCGGGGAGGGGAGATGAGGGAGGCTCTGGGGGGATGCAGGCGCCACCCAGCCGCGCCTGCCATCACCCCTGCTGCCTGAGGCTCCTCTGTGCCAGAGAGGCCTGGCCAGCTCGTGAGCCCCGCCTGGCCCGAGACAGGGAGGCAGAGAGGCCAGCTCTGGACCTAGGTGCCCCTCCTGAGGGGGTGGGACTGGGGTTCGCTCCTGCCCACAGGCCACTCCCTTCTGGAAGCCCTGTGCCTGCAGAGGACAGGCACGTGCATCGTCTGGCCAGAGGGGCCCAGGAGGCTGGGTGGGTCCAGGAAGGGCCCTGGGGAGGCCTCTCCACATGGCGGGGGGGCGTCAGTGGAAACAGAGACCCCGGTGGGAAGTGATCAAACCACAGCCGGGTCCCCCACCTCAGTGCCCAGTCCACGGCCCCCAGTTGGGGGAGGCCTAGGTTTTGTGGGCCACAAGGGTCTGGCCGGGACCTGAGCCAGCCTGCCCAGCCTGTGAGCACCAGGGTCAGGCCGGGTGACAGCCGTAGGCCCTGGTCTGCTCTGGTAGGGGTGGGCGGAGCCACAGACTCTAAGTCTTAGCGTGGTGGGGAAGGGGTCTCAGCCATACCCGGGGAGCTGCCTGGGCCTCAGGAGGAGGCAGGCCCTGTAAGGACCGAACCCCTAAACAAAAGAGAGGCACCTGGGTCATAGCCCTGCAGGTCCCCACTGCCTGTGCCCCACTCAAAACCAGTGGTCCGACTTCCAAGTGGGCACTGTGGGCTCAACCCAGCCAGCCCGGCCTGCTTGCCCGGGGCAGATGTGCCGCTCCCTACCAGCACCTGCGCCTGCAGCTCAGGCCTGTGTCCCTGCCACCTGCCACAGCCTCAGCACCCCACGCCAGGGAGCCTGTGCCAGCCTGGCCTGGCTCATAGGGCCATCTCTGGACTAGGCGGAACCTGGCCTTCCTGGCCTCTGCCCCCTCCAGTAGATTTGGCTACCTCTTCCTGGGGCCCCCACTGCCTCCAGTGGGACTGAGTGGACCCTGGTCTGGGGTGGGGGATGGAATGCACCCTGACTGCCCACGCCGTGGAGGCCTAGGGATGGGGACCCCGCCCCTCCCGTGTTTTGCACTACTGGATCTGAAAGCTTCCAAACCGCATGTGACATAGACGGTAACCGAAACAAAGCAGGCGAGGACAGTCCCGGGCAGCTGGGCGGGGGATAGCACGCTCTGCATGTCCTGCACAGCACGGGACAGCGACCCCGTCCCTGGGGCAGGGTGGCCAGGCAGAGTCAGGGTGCCCGGGGGGTCAGCAGGCCAGGTCCTGGGGCTGCAGGTGGACAGAGGGGCCGGGCAGAGTGAGGACAGAGGTGTGGGAGAACAGGCAAGCCCCTCGCCCCATGACCTGCAATGCCACCGCAGAGCCATCTCCCTGGCCCTCTGCACACACACACGTGCACACTCGCACACCCTCCCCACGCAGACGGGAGACCCGCGGGGCCTAACGCCCGAGTCCCAGAAAGAAGGAAAAATAACAAGAGTTTGGCTCCTGGGGACCCAGCCCTGCCCCATCGTCCCAGAGGGTCCCCATGGCGAAGGAGCAAAGTGTCCTGTGACACATGTCCCCATGCCACAGGCCATTGCTGGCCCCAGCTTTGTCTTCCAGGGCAGAAGGAGCAGGGAGGGTAGCTGGAGGGTCGGGCTGGGCACCAGGGCCTGAAGACCTTGCGCCCCTCCCCAGGGTGGGAGCTACAATGGGAGACTAACCTTGTGAATATCAAAAAGGAGGCCTGGGCCCTTTCTGGCCGCCAGGCCACCCCAGCCTACGAGTCTGCAGTCTAAGAGTGCGTCTGCTTCCTTCATCGACTTTAAATACAAGCAGAAGGGGGTCACATTTGTTTCAGGCAACAGTAGCAGTTCAGTAGTAAGGTGCTCGGTCACAGGTCACATTGTCGATTAGTAACATGCAAGCAGCTCGGCCTGGCCTCGGCCGCTCCTCTTACAGAGTCCCTGCGTAGGTGCCCTCGGGCCTCCTGGCCGCAGCCGCTGGCGTCTGGGGCCTGCTGGAGCTGGCCCTGCCCGGCTGGAGGTGGTGTTCAGATCGACGTTCACGACGTCAGTTCTCAGGGCCAGGATGGCGGGGGCGGCGGGCCTCGGCGTAGACGCGCTGCTCGAACACCTGAGGCGCGGCGGGCGGGAACTCAGGGTCGAGGGGCACCCCGGCAGCCGAGGCGCCCATGACGGTGCGGTACACCTCCACGCCCTCGGGCAGCATAGACTTGATCTTGGGCAGCCAGCGCTTGCGGACGCGGCGGGCGTTGGTGCACATGTCGGCCGCGATCACATTCATCTCGCTCTCCTTGAAGCTGGGCGCGAAGTTCTGACAGTACACTGCGGGGCACAGAGGCGGGGGCGAGGCTGGGCGCCCCGGCATAGGCCCCTGTCCCCCACGGCACCCGTGGTCAGCTGGGGACGGGCAGTCACTGTTCTGGTGCCCGCTTCCTCCTGGGAGCTGCCGGCCTGGTCAGGTCTGGCCGCCCTGGCCACCCTCCCGCCAGTGAGGCCTGGGCACACCCACGAGCTCTGGGGCCCCCTGCGCCCTACAAACTGGAGCTGGCCACAGGGTCCCCCTCGCAGGGCTGGGCAGGCACGGGGTTAGCTCAGCACTGGGGACGGGCAGTCACTGTTCTGGTGCCCGCTTCCTCCTGGGAGCTGCCGGCCTGGTCAGGTCTGGCCGCCCTGGCCACCCTCCCGCCAGTGAGGCCTGGGCACACCCACGAGCTCTGGGGCCCCCTGCGCCCTACAAACTGGAGCTGGCCACAGGGTCCCCCTCGCAGGGCTGGGCAGGCACGGGGTTAGCTCAGCAAGATCCTTCCCATCCTCGTCCCAGGTCCTAGGGAGGGGGAGGCCGAGGGTGGTCATCGTCACCTGCAACACTCCTCTTTTCTCCACCGAGCCAGAGCCGCAGACCAAGAGGGCCCTTTCTAACTGCTCAGCCCGGCAGGTCCCCGGCAGGTCCCCGGCAGCTCGCCCAGGACAGCGCCTGCTCTGGAATGGCAGCGCTCCTCCAGCATCCCCCGCCCAGCGCCCCAGCACCCTGCGCTCTGGGACTGTAATTACCAACTGTCACAGTCCTCCGCACTCGAACAGAATTGGCCTGGCGAGGGGTCTCTAAGCAAGAGAATTAGGAGGCCGTGCTCCGGCCGGTGCCCCCACTGCTGGGGCAGGGGTCTGCTGTGGACGTGGGAGGTGGGAGGTGGGAGGTGGGCCAGGCTCCGCCCCACGCCCAGAGCGGGAAGTAGAAGCTGAGCAGATGGCAGAGGCTCAGAATAACCACGAGATGTAAATAGGGGTCTTGTTGGAACGGAGAATTAGATCTATCGCACGTATTAAAATAGTCTCACAGCTGAACTCATCGCACTTGGAAACCTCCCAAGAACGCAGGCACCTCGAGACCTGGCTCTCGGGCTGCTCTTTTCTGCCTCCGCTGCATCCCAGGGACGCCAGGCACTCCCAGGCCCATGTGCTGGGGGGGGCTGCGGAGGCAACCCCGCCAGGAGGGGGGCCTCAACCCCACTGCAGGAGAGGGGCCTCAACCCCGCCAGGAGAGCCCCCAACCCCGCCAGGAGGGCACCCAACCCCGCCAGGAGGGCACCCAACCCCGCCAGGAGGGCCCTCTTACATTTCACGGCGTTCAGGACTCGTCTGTCCAGTGGCTTGCGGCTTGGGTCACTGGTGGACGAGCGGATCCCAGTGCCACAGCTGTTGGCCAGCGTGTTCCTGGGGACGGACAGCGCAGGACCGCAGGGTGAGAGGGGCTGCCCACCAGGTAGAGGAGCCCAGAGCCTCCCACTGTGTGTCCAGGTGCCGTAGTGCTGTGGGCAAGCCCGGCCACCTCTAAGGGACAGGACAAAGGAAAGGCCACTCGGCTGAGATGGCAATCCAGAGACAGGCCAGGAAGGTGGTGGCTGAGTCCCCAGGTCACCTGAGCAGATGCCTCGCCAAGGGAGGAGCCCCCTGTGGGAGCCTCACTTTGGTGCAGAAGGCCCACACGCCCTTCACAGAGACCAAGAAAGCTGGCCCTCCCTGGACACAAGCCCCAGCCAACAGGACCCCTCGCCTGCCCGAGACCCCAGGCCTTGTCCAGGCTGGCAGGCCTTGCTGTGAAGTGGGCAGTGCAGAGCTCCCGTGCCCACACGGTGGGGTGGCACGCAGACGGCTCCCAGCCAAGGACAACCCCGGAACCACGGGCCAACTGCGCCCGCCGCACCCACTTACCTGTCGAAGAAGGTGGCCAGGAGCCGCCGCAGCAGAACCTTGTGCTTCACCCCTGCGCAGAGGTGGCAGTTCATCAGCTGGCCACGTGTGATGTACACCCCGGAGCCTGCAGCCGCCAGACAGACAGTGGGGCCTTGGCCTTGGCCCGGAACCCGGGGCCCCTGCCCTTGCCCGGGGGCTGCTGAGCCAGGACAGGAGTGCGGGGGAGGGAGTGGGGAGGTGCTGAGGCCTCTGGGACTCACAGAAGGACGAGGCCCTGTCAGCAGGGTCTGGCTAGCTCTGGCCCTAGGTTCAGGGAATGCCCCAGCCTCACTGCTCTGTCCCCTCCCAGACACCAAGGACTCAGGCAGCAGCTGGGGGAGGGTGTCACGGCCGCACCACAGGGTACAGCGCTGGCTTCCCTGGGTGGAGATGACCAGGGAGGCTGGACAGTGCAGTTACTTTGTGGAGACCCCAGTGGGCCCAGGGATGGGCTGGACCTGGCAGAACAACGGGCAGCGCTCGTCCACGGGCCCCAGGGACACTGCCATGTGGGAAACGGAGCTTGTGAAACAGGAGGTGACACTGAGGGCACAGTGGCCCGGCTTGGGCTTCAGGGGCTTGGCGGTCTCACCAGGCCCCTTTCAATGACTCAGTCAAAGCTCTGTGCGGTTTCTGCTCAGGAACAGTGGGGCCACCATCTCCTTGGGGGACGGGCAGGAGAGGAGGCTCTGCCCTTGCCTGATGGTCCTTGATCTGGACGTGAGGGGCCTTCCCAGTTCCTCGGGGACCAGGAAGGTGCTGCCCATGTGCGCCCAGCCTCCAGGGGCCTCCTGCCATGGCCCCACTTCTCCAGTCCTGCCGCCGTGCAAACTGGCCTTTCCAAGGCCCAGCCACTCTGGATCCCTCTCCAGCCCCGATGTCCTGAAAACCCACACATGAGCTGCTGGTGGGTGGTGCGGACGAGGGCACTTCTCCTGGAGCCTCGACATGTTGGGTGAGCACAGCCCACAGCCCACCTCGGCCCAGCCCTGCCCAGAAGTGCCAGTGGCCATGGGGCAGTAGGCGCTCGGGACACAATCTGTCCCCACAGTGGGGAAGCTGCTGCCCGCAGGCTGGCTCCCAGTGGGAGACACATGGGCTCTGTGGGCAGTAGATGCTACGGCTGTCCACAGTGCGGTCTGGGAGCTGGTGGCTGGGGGAGCGGCAGCCCAAGGCCCCTAGCTGTAACTGGGACTCCCTTGGCAAACCAAGGGAACTTATTGGAAAATGGCTCGACAGCTGCTAACAAGATGTCTAGCAGCGCCCCGGACGGTCACCTCTGCTGGACGCTGGAGATCTGCAAGGGGCCAGTGGGGTGCAGCGGTCCGGGGGCGGGGTCCCATAGTTGCCGTCGTGGTTTGAGACCTGGACACGGCGGCTTGGAAAACATGCCAGGCACGTGTGTATGCGTGCCCAAAGCCCCACGAAGACAAGGGAGGAGAGGGGACTGCAGCCTGGCCACCTCCCCAGGGTGCGGAAGGGAAGTTCCCATTTTCCTTCTCTTTCTCTCTGGTAGGCACACATGACTATAGCAAAAATAAAATAAAACAGAGAGACCACAAGGCCAAAAGGACTGAGAGACGAGGCCCCAGACGAGGTTCCGGCCCATGGCACCACCTGCTCTTCTGAGCTGCACTTGGGCCTCCGGCCACTCCCTTCGGACAGAGAGTGAGGCCTGTGTCGGACACAGCGTGGCAGACCGTGCCTGAATGGGGACGCAGGACTGTGGACCCTGCAGTCGGAGTGCGGCCGGCCCAGGAGGGTCCACTAAAATGCTGCGTAGCTCAGCGGGCCAACTCCTCGTAATGACACGGCCCTCTACGTGGGAACTTTGCGTGTTCTTTTTTTGACTGATGGGTGATGAGCACACTGTCCCTAGCTCTGGAAGGGTAAAGAAGGTATTTGCATGCAAGGGTGTAGCTCACCTGCCACCAGCTCCAGCTTCTCGCCGGGGTCCCCCTCGGAGTAGAGCTTGGGGTGGCAGCGGTACCCGATCTGGCTGACGAGGCTGGCGGGCAGGGCCACCAGGTCACGACGGATGAGCACACACGATCGGCTCTCCAGCGGCACAGGCTCCGGCTTCTCTGGCACTGTGGGGACAGGACCACCCGCTGGGGCCGAGGGCTACTAGCTGCCCTGCTCACCCTCCTTGTTCCCAGGGCCCAGCCAGACCGCCTGTGCCCAGCTGGCCCTCCTGGCAGCTGCATGCACTCTCCTGGCTGCCCGAGTCTGGGTAGGCTGGCTCCGACCGCCCTCCGCCCCTGCTCCTGCCCGCCTGCTCCCACCAAGAGAAGCCCGAAGCGGCAGGAGAGCAGAGACGGTGGGTGAAGCCCACCCAGGCAGTGTCTAGCTGAGGCTGTGGGCTAGACCACAGTGAGGGGGTGGGGTGAGGGTACAAGAGAGGCCTGAGGCCTGTCAGGGGCTAGGGTGGGGGCTGGCCACAGGTGTCACAGCCGAGACAGAAGCTGGGACCAGGCAGAGGGTGCTCGTGGTGCCGGCAGCCCCTGCTGAGCAAGCTGCCGGAGGAGGGTGGCAGCGGCTCCAGGCAGTCCTGACCCCTCCTCGTGGCTGCTGCCCAGCGCTCATCCTGGCCACAGGCAAGCGGCACAGAGGACCTGGCAGTTCTCTGGGCGAGACATGGCCTTTGATGTGGCAGCCTCATGTCTACAGAGAGCCAGCACTGGGGAGCCTGGCTAGTTGTGCTGGTTCCTGACCACCTCCGCTCGGAACCCCCTGCCAGAACTGAGCCTGCTGCCTGCCAACACGCGCCCCAGTACTGTCACCAGAGACAGGTCCCTCCAGGCCCTTGTGCCACAGGCTGGTGCGCGGTCAGCGTGAGGCTAGCAAGTCCCCCCCCTGCCGCGACTTCTCACACGGTGGCAGTGTGGCCACTCTCCCGCGTCCCCAGCACACAGGCAAGGTCCTTGGAGGGCCACTAGCTTCTGATCGGCTGTCCTTACTAAGAGACGCACCTGTGCTGGCAGCCCTCTGAGAACACCTGGCCAGGCACACCTGGCCGGGTAACCCCGCCAATCCTCCCAGACTAACCAAGGAGTGCGGCCTAAGAAGGGCCTCGCCCTCAGGCTGGCGATTCTCCTCGGAGACTCAGTGGGGACTGAGCGGTGAGGGGGTGGCTGGCAGGGCCTTCTGGGACTTGTGCGTGTGGCGGGGTAAACCCACTCCTGCTGTCCAGTGCCTTTCCCATGACTGTGGGCCCTCGGGGCACAGGAAAACCTGAGCCTCAGGGTGAGGGGGATGCTGGGTGGGGGCAGCTGTGGAGGGGCTTGGCAGGGCAGGGAGGTGGCAGGTGAGCACTGAGACTGGGCCAGTAGGTGGCACGGAGGTTACAGCTGCTGCATCCCATCCCACATGGCCACGGCGCTGTTGGGCGTGTGTACACGTGTACCCAAAATCCTGAGAGAAGGATGGAGAAGGAACCATGGCGTGGCCATCTCCCCAGGGGTCTTTCTTATTTCCACCCCCCCCTCCCCGTCTCTGTTTCCAGTGAGCACATGCATTCTACAGTAAAGATTAAGAAAAACAAACTTGAAGGAAGATGAGCCGCCATCCTGAGAGCCTGAGGGCCAGCTGGAGGTGAGCGGGGCTCCCGGGACCACGTGCAGCCCACTGCTGGAACCCCCAGGCTCCTCCTGCCTGGCCCTCCCCACAGTGGGTGGGACTGGCAGCAGCCCCCGGCCAGCTGCTCCTCCTTCAGCCTGACAGTAGCTGGATTGGAGAGGTGGCAGGGAGGTCCCCAAGGTTGCAGCAGAGGCTGCGGGACTTTAGGTGGGAGCCGCCAGGTGGGTGCTGGGGTTGGTGGTATTTCCCATGGGGCATAGCAACGAGGCCTGCCTGGGGGCTGGGGGAGCGGAAACAATCTGATGCTATTTTACAACGTAACTACCTGCCCCAGCAGCCCACCTGCTCCCCTGCGGACGGCACGCTGCCCAACTCGCACGCTGCGCAGAGTAGCTCCCAGTCGGCCACCTCAGCTCCACATCTGCCACGGCAGAGGCTGCGTGCCCTGCGCCCACCCTCCCGGCCCGGCCCTCCCCGAGCAGAGCCTGGCGGACTTCTCTCTGCCTCGTGTGTACGGGTACCGCTGGCCGCGGAGAGCACCGGGGCAGCGCGTCTGCACAGGTGTCGCACGGCCTCCTGCACCTCGCTCCTTCCCGGCCGTGTCACAGTTGGGCCTTACAGGGAAACCACGGTGGCACGGCTCATCCCTCGTGGCCCCAGGAGGGTCGCTCTGAAGACCCAAGAGTCGGAGCCGTGCAGGCTCCTTGGCGGGTGCGGGGGTTGCATTATGTGAGGCCCCCCAACCTGGCCTTAGCCTCAGGTACCAGGCACCCGGCAGCATCCCGTCCCCCAGGCCTGGCCAATGTCACCACGTGGCTGCCTGAGCCAATGACCACCCTGTGGCTACAGCGTCAGTTTCTGGACTGTGCCTTCCACATACTTGGTCCCTGAGCAGAGCCTTCCAGGGCTGCTGGAAATGGGGAAAGGCCCGGAGAGGGTCATCGCCCTCGGGCTGGAGCAGCGGCTGTCCAGGCACATGGGTGCCAACCACCAGGGCCAGGCAGACTGTGTCCCTGGGTCCCCCAGTGGCAGCGCATGGCCAACGGACACACACACACACAGACGGGGCCCACAGACACACACACACACACACACACACACACACACACACACACACACACACGGCCCC